GGCCGGGAAAGTCAGGCCTCCTGCTGGGTGCATAAGCCGACTTGATGTCCAGGGAGAAGGAGCGCTTCAGGCGGTTGGTGTCCTGGAGGCGGTCGGAGGAGAGGTGCAGGCCACGTAAACCCTGCTGCAGTGCGCTGGTGGCTGGAGCTGTGCTGGGGATTAGAGCATCCCCTCCAGGCTTCGCTCCCAGTGGCAGCGCTCTCTGAGGTAGATGGTGGCAGCCGGGGCAGTGGGATGCTTGCTGCCGGGCCCAGGAGGGGCTCAGGGGTCCCCAAGTGAGGTCCATCACTCTGCAGGGCAGCCAGCAGCTTCAGACTCCTCTCATACTCGAGCAACTGGCCCAGGAAGTTGAAGTTGGGCGAGATGGAGGGGCGCCGATCCTTCACAAACCTGGGCAAGCAAGAGAAACTCCTGTCAGAACAGGCTTGTGACCGATTTCCCCCTGTACCCAAGCTTTGTGTTGGGCTCCAGTTTTCCCTCCCTGCCAGGGCAATAGGCTGTACCGTTTAAGTGGGTGGAGAAAGGAAGGGAGGGCAATGCTGTTAGCCATTGGTTGAGGAGTTCCAGGTCCCCAGAGCCCGGGAGGGGAAGAGTACCTGTATGCGTCGTCAGAGGACATGCCCATGGTTTTCATGATGTAGGCGATGGCGATGGTGGCAGAGCGAGAGATGCCAGCCAGACAGTGAACAATGACTTGGCAGCTGGACAGCTTGGCTTTATCTGGGGACAGGTGGATGGTGGGGGACTAGGTGAGGGCTGAGATTGCACTATTCCTTCTACCCAAGGTAGGCTCCTACCCTCCCTCCCTCTGACAGACAGTGTGGGTGACTTCCCAGAGCTGGATGGCCCCAAACATGGTACTCCCTCTGCCTCTATCCAGTCTTCCTCTAGTCAGCCTCCCCCACACCATAGAGACAGACACATCCTCCCTTTCCCTCACCAATAAACTCAATGGACTTGTCCAGCCAGGGCAGCAGCTTTTCACAGTAGTTGTCATTGATGGGGATACGCATGAAACGGCTTTCACAGATGAAGTCCGGTTTAGGGCAGGAGTTGCTGGCATTGAGAACATAGCTTATTCCATTTTGGGTCATCAGATCCTAGAGGGATAGGAAGATGGGTCAGAATGGGGTAGCAGAGAAAAGCAAAACACCCCCTAGAGGAAGAGCTGAAAGTCTGTCTCTCTCATCCCCTCTGCAGAACAGGCCTCTAAAGTCTTCTGAGTCTCAGATTTTGTTCAGGGTCTTGCTATATGGAAAAGCCTGGCTCCATCTCAACCTTTGAGACCACTGGATGGGCACAGGAAGGATGGCTTCTGCAAGCCACACCTACAGCCTGTACTGGGCTCCCAGGAATTTTATGGTTGCCTGGGCGGTGCCTTCATCCTTTTCCCTCCTCACCATTTTTAAAACACGGGATTCTTTCAGAGCTGGCCAGTGGCCCAGTGACAGAAACAGTTTGGCATGCAGGCTTCCAGTGCCCCACCACAGAAGAGTTCAGGAGCCTGCTTTTCCACCTAGCCTCGCTGGGTTCCTCCCTGGGCCATACTGTGGTTCGGTGAGTTGGGGGCTCTGGTTCCTCCTGTGCTCCCACCTCATACTCATCTATCACCTGCTCTTCACTTCAGACTACCTTAGGACCTGATTCCAGGTTCCCCCTCTTTACACCATCAGCGGTGACACCCTGTGCACTCACCTTGTTTAAGACATCTTTCTGAGAGCCCAGGTAGAGGTGAGGCAGGATACGGGTCAGGCCCACACTGGGCACAGGCAGGCAGGGCTGAGAGAGGCTCATGGATGGTAGGGTAGCAGGTTTTCCCTCACAGAGGCCTGGGAAGCAGGAGGAGAAGGTGGCAAAGCCCCCTGTGGGAGGAGACACAGAAAGCTCTTAAGGAGGCTGCCCAGCCAGAGCAGGAGAGTTCCTCTGGGCTTAGCCACACCCTGTAGACCCCAAGCCCAGCCTGCTTCTGGCCCAGCACCTGGACTCTTGCTGGCAGGCTACTTGCTTTTCTCTGCAGCACTGGGGGTGGGGGGTGTGCTACTGCCCATTTAGAGCAGGCACCTACGCCCACATTCCTCCTCAGGCTAATTAGGGACTGGCTCAGGGTCACTGCTTTGATGCCCATAAATATGGGGTCAAGGTGGCCTGTCATCACAGCACATGGAAACCAGGCAGGGAATGGCTGAGACCTCATCAAGGGTCTCTTATTCCCCAGGTATGGCAAGGTAAGTCCTTTCGCAGCCCCAGTACATGACTGGCCTTCGGCCAGGCTGGCTCTTAGCCTCTCTCCATGCTGATGCAATCCCTCCCTGACTCCAGTTGGCTGGAAGCCACAGGCCTGTGCTCTAGTGCCAGGCCTAGGAGGAAAGGGCTTCTGAGGTGGGGCCTCTTTGGGCATGACATCACCCACTGGAATTGCCACAGCCCACAGGGCATTTGTGGTTCAGTCATGGCTCCAGTCTACCCAACAGGAGATGACAGAGAAGCAGGGAAGCCTGCACACAGGGTACAAACAGCCTGCTCCCTGTGGCCACTGTCTAGATACATCTAAGATCCAGACTTTTGGCTGGGGAAGAAACCCTTCACCAGTTTGAGATACCCAAGCTGGCTCCTCTGGTACGTCTGACTCAGTGACCACAGGCAAGGCACGCCTCTGGCCTCAGTTTCCTTATTTGCCTGCCACACAGCATTGTTGACAGACTCAAGAAAGAAAAAAAAAACAATTATAAAGGTGTGAAAATAGAGCTAGCCACATCTAGCCTGGCTGGGGTTCATCCAGAAACCAGCTCTCAGCATGGTGAGGTGAGCTCAGCAGAATGGACTTCCTATGCTCCACAATGACAAGCTCTGTCAAGCAAGTGGGCTCGGTTTCTAGTCTCAATCATACCATCCAGAGCACAGAACACCTGGCCTAAGACCCAATGTGCCCCATGGGAGGAAGTGAGGATAGGGTTCTGGGCACAGGTGTACACACACACACACACACACACACACACACACACACACACACACAGCACAGCACAGAGAGCTTTTTCCCAGCCTGAAAAGCAGGTGCCAGGGACCTGGAAAGCTTCCACCTTTGCCTTCACACTGCCCCAGCTCACAGACAGTATGCACAACCCCTCAACCAGTATATCTGTTGTGGCTGCTACCTACTACCTCAGTGAAATCTTATCTTTGGTGGCCTTAGAGGAGAAGCAGTCCCTTCCTCAGGAAGGCTAGACAGGGAGGAACAGGTAGTTGTGGTGGTACCAGTAATGCTGCGGCTTACATTGAGGCACTCCAAGGGGAGGCTGAGTTGGGCATTGTGGGGTCTGTAACCTCTCAGGCCTCAACCCTAGAGGGATGGTGCTTCTGCATAGCCTCTTCCATAGATTACAGCCCCTTTTGTCTTCTTGTTACTCTGCCAGAAGCTTGGGTCTCAGTCTTTCCTCCACAGCCTGCCCAAGGGAGGTCATGCATTGTACCAGAGACCCATGCCCACCCTACCCACAGGAGGGAGGTTCAAATGCTTCCAAAAGTATAGCCACCCCAGACTTCTCAGCAGCTTAGAAAGCTCCCAGGCTAAGCTGAGGCCCTTGAGCACCCTTCCAGATCACTCCTATGGACTCCATCCTTCCAAGGCCTGAGGCTATAGGAATTTGGGGGGCTATTCCAGGCTAGGTGGGTGGATGGAAATGGAGGTTGAGTGAGTGTACCTCAGCTATTTGCAAGTCTCTGGGAGGTCTAGAAAATGCTCTGGCCATCCCTGAATCTCATTCTCCTATAGAACATTCCCGTCTACTGCTCCTACCACCTGTACTTGGGAGACCACAATTAGTACCCTTATCAAGCTTAATGTTTACAAGGAGACACATACAGAAACATGCATTTATTTGTCAGTGGACTTGGCACAGCCCAGGCTACTGATGGTCAGGCTTTCTCTGCTCTTATTATAGCCAGCTACCCACCAGGGTGTGGGGAATGTCAGCATTTCCAGGCTGCAGACATAGCTGTGACATCACTGGCTCACATCCCACAGTGATAGTACAACTATAGGTTGCACCAGCTCCTGGCTAAGGGTCTGCCTGCTGTATAAAAGGGTAAAGCCCCTTCCTTCCTCCCCCTTTCTCTAAAAATGCATACTGTGATGGTTAATGTTAACTGTCAACTTGACAGAATCTAGACTCACTTAGGATAGGCTTCTCTGGCAAGCCTGTGGAAAATTATCTTGATTATGTTAATTGATGTGAACATAACTATTCCCTGGGTAGGGGACCCAGGATGGTACAAAATGCAGAAAGTGAGTTGAGCAGCAGTCTACCCACATTTACTGTTCCGTTCCTGATTGTAGATGTGATGTGATCAGCTACTTCAGGCTCCTGCAATCTTAATTTCTCCACCATGATGGCTACACCCTTATCTGTGAGCCAGATAAACCCTTCCTCTCTGAAGGTACCTTTGACTAGGTATTTTATCACAGCAGAGGAAAGGAACTAAAGCATACTGACATCTAGGTTAAAGCTCTTTCTTAATAAACTCTAACTTTACTTAAGGAAAAAGGGGACTAAGTTCATTACCCTCTGTGGTGGTTTGAATGAAAATGGCCCACATAGGCTCCTAGGAGTGGCACTGTTAGGAGGTGTGTCCTTGTTGGAGGAAGTGTGTCACTGGGGGTGGGCTTTGAGGTTTTAAATGCTCAAGGCAGGCTCAGAGTCTCACTCTTCCTCCTGCCTGCAGATCCAGATGTAGAACTCTCTGTTATTTCTCCAGCACCATGTCTGCCTGCGTGCTGTCATGCTTCCTGCCATGATGATAATGGACTAAACCTCTGAATTGTAAACCAGTCCCAATTAAATAATTTCCTTTATAAGAGTTGCTGTGGTCATGGTGTGTCTTCATTTGAATAGAAATCCTAACTAGCCAGGTAGCCTTTACTCCCAGCATATAGGAGGCAGAGGCAGACAGATCTCTGTGAATTTAAGGCCAGCCTAATCTACACAGAGAGAGTTCCAGGACATCCAGGGCTACCCAGAGAAACCTGTCTCAAAAACCAAACAAATAACAAAAAAGAAACCCTAAGGCATCCTCCCCCCACCCCAGATAACACCACTGGGGGCACTGCTTGAGTTCCCAGTCCCCTCTCCAGAGTCCCTTCACTAGCCATACCCATCTCCCCGAGCTTTCGGTGAGTACGAGTCAGAAGGTGATATTTAAAGGCCTGGCCTCTGTTGTATTTGGCCAGGAGGCCAAAGAACTATGTGTGTGCTATGAAATCACCTCTAGCCCCTGCTCAGTAGTCTATTTCTGATTCTATACTAGCTCAGCAGGGACTGTGCCAATGTGCTGTCACTTTGAGCCTGTCTCACACTGCATTGATCAGGAGAACTCCCTGGCTCAATATCTGGATGAATGGGACAAGGACTCAAACTTGGCAAGACAGACATCTCAAACTGGAGGGAGCTGGGTAGAGCACACCCAGGTCCAGGTGAAACCTTTAGGAAGATCCCAGCCCAGGACTACCCCCAGCCTCCAATATTGTCCTTGCCCCTTGCCCTTTGCCCAAGAGACAGGCCCTGCCAAGTTTTGAGCTGTCCTGCTGGGGCCAGGAAGGGCGCTGCTATGGAACCCTTTTTATTTTCAAAAGAACTTCATGCTTCCAGTCATGACTAGGGTGGTGAGTTGGGGTCCTGGAGGTGTTCCTGTAGGCCTAGTGGGCTTGTAAGAAGGCTCAAACTCCTCTTCTTCCCAAACTAAGCCCAGGCGGCTGGAGCTATGGTACAACTATGTGGCTTCTGGTTCCAAGAATTCTCACACGCACAATAAATCATGAGTCCTACCCAGACAGGCTGAACATCTGTACAGATACTCAGGGCACATAGACACACAGATATCCTTGGACTATACTGGCCTAGAGCATGGTGGGACATAACTCATATCCAAATAGACACTCATTCTACCCATGATGGTGAGCCTCAGGTTGGGTTCATCTACCCAGACGTCTGGCTAAAGCAGTCTGAGCTCTTTCAGTCTCCCTCTCTGTGTTGGGCTACATGTCATGGTACTCATGGGATTCTGGTGCCACTGAACTAGGCTGGCCATTCACTCACTTACTTCACTCCATATGCAGTGGGTGTAGAGGACACTCCATCAGCTCTGTGCTATGCAGAGGCTTTCAGCATGGGTAGAGGGCATCAGCAAAGAGCCCAGATTCCAGCCGGCCAGAGTAGGCATCCTGGAACAAGCCCACTCTAGCAGCTATTTAGGAATCTAGGCTGCCTCCCAGGGAGGCAGATTCTACAAAAGCCCTTTCAGCTGTGGCCTGAGGGTGAGTGTGCCTAGCACATGGTTGAGAGTGGGAGTATTCGACATTAGTCAGCGGGTGTGTGTGACTCTGAGTAGGGACTGGAGGCCAGCTGGCCAGACTGCTTTTGGAGCACAGGTATCCCAGAGTGATACTCTGCTGGTCCCTCAAGTAGCAGCCACAATGGAGTAGGCAACCTGTGGCCAGCTGGCACCTTCTGTGAGTAAGGTCCCTGCTGTGTGACCAGTTCTGGGATAGGCCGACTTTTTCAGGAGGTAAAACCTCCACTCCCTCTCCTTGAGACAGGGACAGATTGTGGCCTGGGTCCTTGGCTCCCTCTCTACCAAAAAAACGTGGCTTTGGGAAGTTCCTGCTTGTCTACCTCTTCTGCTGTTTTGAAAAATCCAGAGATGCTAGGATCCCCCTCCTGTCCCTGCAGTTCTATTTCTCCTCTGACACTCCTAGTCCTAGCCAAGTGCATGGGCAGGGGTGTTTGGAAGAGAAGGTATCCCATAGCCCTGGCCCATCCCTGGAGTTCACCTGTGAGGATGGCCACGCTGTCGAAGCAGCCGTCCAGCTTGCTGAGCAGGATGGACAGGAAGCTGTCTGCTGCCAGCACGCTGGCATCCCGAGTGCTCTGGTCATACACTACCACATCCTGTGGTTCTGTGGCATCCACCTGGGGGGCCATAAGGGCAGAAGTTAGGACATTTGGAAAAATCAAGGTGCCAGAGGACAGGAGGCAGGAGGCTGCTGTCATCCTCCCCTGCACTCCCTTGGATGGGAAGAAAAAAGAACAAGAAGAAAAAAAAAACATGGCTCCACTAACAGGCTTTGTACCAGGCAAGGACTGGGGTGGGATGGGATGGGGATGGCTTCAGTTCTAGGTAGCCACGCCCCTCATAGGTAAAACTACCAGAACCAGAAGTGTTAAAGAGCACAGGTGGGTATAATGGGGCCCCAAGAGCACATACACATAGCCTGAGCTGGCTCCTAAGCTTCTGGAAGGCTAGTACCTCTCTTTTCTTATTTGTCACCCCCTCTCCCAGCCCTGATGGAAAAATGGATGCTACAAGAGGACCCTCCCCTACCTAAACACCCCCAGGTCAGGAGGAAGAAAGAAGCTGGAAGCTGGGGTTCCTCCTGCCTTTCTCCCCACTGTGGTGGCCTTAGGGCCAGATGTTGAGGGGCTTTTGCTCAGACAGGCTGATGTCCCTGCCTCCCAAGCACACTCAGCCTTTAAGCCAGCTGAGCTGTCAACCCCAGGCTGGATGATGTCATCAGCAGCCAATAGAATTGCACTCTGGCTGGAGTCCTCGCTGGGGGTGATTAATCACTGGATTCCCTTCATTGGCACCACAGGGAGCTGGTTCTGGCCTTGGAATGGGGGACTCCCGACAAGCGGCATCCCACCTGGGTTCTCTCACATCATAGCTTGGAGTCAGACAGTTTGGAGACTGAACCCCTCCTAAAGCCTCTGTCTGGTTCTGTTGGCATGCTCCTCTAACCCAAAGGAGGGGGGAGAAGTTGGTAGCTGGTGCTATCCCAGGCCATACATGCTCCTGGATAGGCTAGGCCCTCCCCCGCTGTTTCACTGGATAGTACTGGGGAGAAATCTGTCCCTTCCTGCCTGGAAGGATTGTCCTTCTTGGGGGCCACAGAGAGCATTCTGGGCTACTGAAGACTCTGGGAGGTGGGAGGAGGAAAGGGGAGGCTAGTGAAATGGTCTGCCTAGTATAATCCCTTTTCTCACCCCCCTCCTGGCCTCACTACAGTCAGAGTGGCCAGACCCAGCTGTCCTTGTCCTCAGAATTCACCAGCCTGCTGCATCTACCCTGTTCTACCCTCTATGCAACCCCAGTTCCCTTACCCATTCAGCATTCCTTGTAGATGGAAAGACAAAGGGGCTCCCTGCCAGTTCTAGAGGAAGGTCTCACTAGAGGGGACTGCTCTACAGCACCTCCAGCTGTGACCCCAAGGAACCCAATTTGGAATTAGGGGACAAAGAAGGGGAAGTGACTGATTAGAGGATTCTTGGGCACCAGGCCTAGGAACTCCAGTCTTTCTCAGAGGTGACATGTGCATGCTTGCCCAGGAATGGTCAGCACCAGGGATGGATGTATGCAAGGGTGGGACACAGGTACCTGGCTGCGTGTAGCTGGCTGGATGAGCTCAGCAATGGTCACTTTCCCCTGCTGAAGGCGCCTCTTCACCAGTTTGGAACAGCAGATATTCACAGAGCTCAGCACATGGCAGCTGTTGTATTCCACGAAGGATCGACTGTCAATGACCAAAGGTCCCCCAGGCCCGCCACGCAGCAGGCTGGCCAGTTTCTTGGCATCCATCACCTTCCTCGGGAGCCGATCCCCAGCCATGGTGGGGTGGTAGGCAGTGGGGACAGTGACCCCTGAAGTGAGGAGGGTGTGGCCTTGCAGCGTTCTGGGTACCCTAGTGCATGGCGCCAGACCTGAGGGAAAGGCGAATGGTCAGAAGTTGGTGGGATCTGGGTAGCTACAGCTGACTTCCAGGCAGGCACTATGTTTGACAGCTGGCATGTCCTTTGGGCCCTTCCTCCTGGATGGATGAATCAACACCTTACCCAGTAGGGTGAGTACACAGAAGAGACCCTGACCACCCCCTACTCTGCCTGGGTTCTGGTATAAGGCAAAGGACAAATGAGGACCCCAAAGGAGAATTCTTATTATGGGCTCTAGGGTGCAGCTATACTTGCAGTTTCTAGAAACTCTGTCTTAATGGTCTCTGCATTTTCCTTTCCTCAGGACCCTAGGGTACAAAGTTAGTCTCTGCTCTTTTCCCAGCTAGGCACTCTCACACCTACCTCCCTTTCTTGACACAGTGCTGCATAGCTAATTCCTAGACTCCATCTCCAGGAAAGGTTCTCTAAGCCCATAATCTGGATGCTGGTAGATACAAGGGCAGGACCACCCCACCCCTACCCCACTCATGGATTCCCAGAAGCTGAAGGCCAGGTGCCAGGGAGCTCCTGTTCTACTGCTACTGTTGTATGCTTCAGGCTGAGGTTGGTGCACTCTACCTATTGTACAAATGGATGGGGGTTGTCAGTTCTAGGATGAAGGTTGAGGTACTTAGGATGCTTAGAACTGCTGGACCTTCAGCATGGCCCCAGAAGTTCTTGGGCTGAAGAATGTGTGGAGGAACTGGAGATAGATGGCATCAAGGGACCTAGAAGCCCTGTCAAGCAGGCTTGACAACACTGCAGCTCCCAGGACACCTGCAGTGTTGCCTTAAAATGGGAAAGTTGAAGCTTGAGGCAGTGGGAGGTGAAATAGTAGCCCCTCCTCCCCTCATCTAACCTCACAAATGTAGTGGGACAGGAAGGAACTTGGCTCTTTAGACACTCCCTTGAGCCCTTGCCTGGCTTGGCCTATTCCCACTCCTCCATGGCAGTCAAGGATCCTGGGGTGAAGTGTCTTCTGGCTTTCCTGGGGCAGCCTACAAGGAGCCACCAGTGATGCTGGTGTAAGGGTACAATTTCCAGGACCTGAGCAGTGCACAGTCAGTGGGGACTTTGGGGTGCTAATCCCTGATATCTACATATATCCTAGGCCTCTCTGCAAGTCCTTCACTGGGGAGCCAGGCCTGGAACAGTCACACCAAGGAAGCTCAACAGAAAATAGACCTACTTATTATGCAAGGGGTTGTCTGTCTGATGAAAGCATTGTTTGGGGACATTTCCCTGAGTTCTAACCAGGATCTTGCATGAGTGAATAACAGGCTAATGCTTAGGACCTGGGTCAGAGGAAGGAGCAGGCCCTCCCACTAGCAGGACTGGACAGTGGGACTAAAAAGATCCAGGTCTTTGAGGACCATAGTGCAGGATGCTGGGGTACAAAGGGCCTTTGCTAGTAGTCCCTTGGTCCTGCCACCCCACAGTTTCCACCTCCTCCCAACTGAGTGGAATGAGCTAACTGCATCAAGAGAAGCAGAGAGCGACTAGTCCAGAGAGTTAGAAGGCGCAGCCCCACCCTCTCTGCAGCAGCCCTTGAACCACCCTGAAGGAAGCTGTGCTGGGGATGCCCCCTCTGAAGATCCTCATCACAGCACCACCAAGGGGCTATGGCTGGGGATGGCAGGGAAGGGAAGCCTGAGAGCCAGAGGGAAAGGCAGGTTGGTTGCAGGTGGGATGGGGGCAGCTTTGTTCAGGCCTGTTACCTGTCCCTTCCTCTACCTCCTAGGAAACCCTGAGAACTGGAGCTGGGCCCTATTAACCATTACAGTATTGTTATTTGCAGCAGAGGGGGACTCATTAGCAAGTTAGCACCTCCGATGTTGCCATGGCAACAGCAGAGGTGCCAGGCAACGGCTGCTCCTACTGCAGCAGCCACTAGTCAGGCTGCACTGCAGAACAGGCAGGTCTTCCTCCTCTATGCTCCCACTCCTCCATGGCAGGTGCCCAGTAGCTCTGACCTATTGCTCAAAGACAGCAATGAGGCCCCTTATTCCAACCCTGTCCTACTTGGCTCTAATTCCCAGGACCCAGTCCCACTCTGCAGCTCACTGGCTCCTCATTCCTCTGAGGCCATCAGTACACTGCACTGCAAAGATTTGGATGAGCCCCCTCACACAGGAAACCCTATGCTTTGCTGGTCTTCAGTAGCACATCCTGACAGCACCTCTTTGTACACTCACCCCTGGCTTCCTCAGTGCTGGGCATCAGGCCTAGAATTCATTGGGGCTAGAAATAGAGATGTAGGGTCAATTCTGAGAGGGTCAGCAGGGCACAGATAGACCATGCAAAATCTGAGCAAAGCATATGTTCTCAAGTACTCCCAGAGAAAACAGCTATCAGCCTGTTCTTCCAGAGCCTTGAATGGGGTTAGGGGTGGTCAAGACCCTCTGTGCAAAGTCTGGAGACCTTCATCAAAGGATTTTGAGCCAGAAGGCAAGCATTCCTAAGTCCAAAGTCAGGAGGAGGCCTATCCCAGGCTCAACCAATGGCCACGCCCCTCAGAGAGGTCCCAGACAGGCCCCCCTCGCCGCCCCCCCCCCCCATTGCTGGAGGCCAGGTCCACAGCTCAACCTTTGTGAAACTGTTCCCTGAACACAGGAACACACCCCTTTGCACATTGACAGATGCATGCCTTGCTGACAATCCAGCTTGTCCCTGAGTGCAATTATACATGTGCCAATGTGTCCATCTGCACATACATACGGCGCTACAGTCTCCTGGAGTATATGACTGAAGTATACAGTTGTACACACAACCTTGTCTTCTGTACACCAAAGCTCCTGGTGCCCATATACCAAGTGCCAGCCCATTATCATTATCTTTCACACCGGGGTTCCCACACAGCATGTTCAGGTCCCTAAGTCCTTATGTGACCAACAAAAGCCCAAGTCCTGGGAGGCAACCTCACCAAGCTAATTGTTGCTCAGTGCCTAGTAATAAGGAATTCCCTACTTCCAGAGACGGCTTCCAGGACCACTAGCCACTGTAAGACTGGGTCCCTCTCATAGTGGTCTAGCCTGATCATCCTTGCCCACAGTCAGGCAGGCTCTCAGCAAAGAGCCAGCAATAAGAGGCCCAAGATACTGAAATGCCAGCTCACTGTCACACAGAGCACTTCTGGAGATTGACAAAGACCATCTCCTAGGGTGTTCAAATGCTCCTGCATGGCAGTTGAGCCCGTGGCTTCTCTGGGCAGGCTCCCCTGCACCCTTGCCCCTGGGAGAGAGGAGAGAAACGTGGCACACGGCCAGGTCAAGAAGAGACAGTGGAGACTTGAGAGAGCTGTGGTCCTGAGAGGTCCAGTCAGAGGTTCTTTGGCTCCTATGGTTCTTAGGACCACAGCATAACTATCTCTTCTGCCTCTGGACTCAGGGACTCAGCCTCTGTCCCTGCTTTTTCTGTGAGCTGCATATCTAAGTCACTCCAAATCCACAGATATACCCCCACTGAACACCTGTCCAGTTGAAACTTATGGGCTGGGACATCAGTATCAGTCCAAGAAGAGAGATGCTGGCAGGAGTCCTAGACACACTGACTTGAAGCATCTTTCTGCATCTGTATCCAGTGCTAAGTCCCCAGAGGCAGCCTCAAGTCTCCCCAAGGGCACAGGGCAAGGGGGAAAGAGAACCTGCCCAGCAACCCTCGAGATCCCTAAGCTGACTGCAGCAGTCAGACATAACGATGAACCTACAGCTCCTGGTCACATGATCTGCTCATCTGTAGCAGGTGCTTGTTAACCAAGGAGTGGATGCACGGGGACTCTGACCTCTCTGAGCAGAGCCTGGCACTGTAGGCTACACTCACCTATCCAGCTACCCCCGAAGGGAGGGGGCAAGCAAGTGTGAGGGTGGGTTTTCAGGTCACTGGATTTCCATTCTGAACCCATTCATACAGTGAAAGAAGCTGTGCCCGTGGCCTGAAGCACACCCACCCCCACCCCAAGCTGCACAACAGAGCATTGCAGATGCCACACTGGTCCCCCACCCCCATCACTGCATCATCAGGGCCCCCATCTCTGTTGCAGACGCAGCACAACCTGTCAACAACGAGTCAAAGGCAAATTTACCAAAGAGGTCTGGAATCTGGGCCTGTCTTTATCCCTCCCTCTACCTGCAAGGTTTGGCCCACAGGTACCCGCGGTGGCTGACTGACCGCTCCTTCCCAAGGTGGGCAGATAGGCTAGGGAGACAAGCTGCAGGAGGCGGCTGTGGCCGGCCCCTCCCCCAGCATCGCGCCTGATGCCTCTGCATCGGGTAAGGATGTTCTTTATCCGCAGAGGCCAGTGGAGCACCCTGAAGTGGGGGTGGCCAGACAGCATCAGAGAGCAGGAGAGCGGGGGTCCTAGGGCCTCCCCTCCGGACAAGGAGCCTACCACAGGCCGGAGCCGACCTTCTGGAGTCGGAGGTTTAGCATCTCGCCGCCGGCTGCAGCCGCGGACGACCTTCTCCAATTCTGACCTCCAGCGGGGGCGCCTTGCAGGGAGTCTCACCAATCTGTGCTGGATCTCAGCCCTCCCCCACGAATCTCTAGGGCTCTAATGTGTGTCCCTCCAGATAAGAAGGAATGCTCAGAGAA